CGCGCCCCCGCCCCTAGTGCTCGGCTGGTACTTTTCCACTCGCCTGGCGGGGGATGAATCAGCCGCGCTGCGCCGCCCGGCGATGTCACGTGACCAGGGCGGGCGCTGCGGGTCCTGACGCGCTGCCTCTACCTTCGCAGGCAGACGCGCCAGCCGGTGCACCGCAAAGGACAAAAGGAGTCCAGTGTTACTTGAAGCATCTGATTCCTCCCGGTGCTCAGCATGAAGAAAGCCGAAGTGGGAAGATTCAATATTTCCCCGGATGAGGACAGCAGCAGTTACAGTTCCAACAGCGACTTCAACTACTCCTACCCCACCAAGCAAGCAGCTCTGAAAAGGTGGGGGAAGTTGTGTCCTTTTTTAATTAGGCTTGTACGGGTCGAGGGATTCTTCTAGGACTCTGTGTTTCTTTAATTTACTGTAGCGATCTCTGAAAGAGTATCCCGTTGTCTTATTGCAATGACAGTATCTGGAGTGAAAGTCGACTCCTACTTAAAACTTAGGCATTTAAATGAAGGTGTGTTGGCAACTAAAGGGCAGTTTTGTGTTAAAGCATTGCATTGTATATTTCGATGCAATTTAAGATTTTCTTCTTTTTTTTTTTTTTCTTTTGCAGCCATTATGCAGATGTAGATCCTGAAAACCAGAACTTTTTACTTGAATCAAATTTGGGGAAAAAGAAGTATGAAACAGACTTTGTAAGTTAATAGTAATTTGTGTGTCTGTGGCTTTATGGAGTAAAAGAATAGTTTTACTTTTAGATTTCAAATCTAACTTGCCCAAAGCTGGTTTTCTCCATTTAATTATTGTTATATGTTTGGTTATCGTTTTCCCTCTATGTAGCATCCAGGTACTACTTCCTTTGGAATGTCAGTATTTAATCTGAGCAATGCGATTGTGGGCAGTGGAATCCTTGGGCTTTCTTATGCCATGGCTAATACTGGAATTGCTCTTTTTATGTAAGTATGTGTAAGTAGTGAGTCTGCCATGCAGGGCAGTTAATATGATGATACAGCGTGTTTTGGCTCCAGAAACTGACTTGAAATTCATTTGCTTAAAATTTAAAATATGAGAAATAAAAAAATATCTTATGGTATATAATTGTATGATATCGAGAAAGCCAATTAGATAGGGAAAATAGGACAACAATTAAAACTGATAATTAAGCCAAAAGTCTTTAAGTCAGTGGGAATAGTTAAGTCAGTTTTAATGGGTGGATGTTTTAAAGTAACTATTGATAAATCCCAGGTAGTTAGAAATTTTGTTATGACAAAATCTGAAGCAAAAAATATTAAGCAGTATAGTACTTCCAAATCAGTTTGGTAAATTAACATAGTCTCTCCAGGGATTTGTGGCCATTGCGTGTATAAGGAAAACACTTAAAAAAAATATACGAGATGTGGTGGTATTAGCCTAACCTGAAATATTTTTGTTTTAAGAAATGTAAGTCATAAAGCAACCTGTATTTTTTGTCTTTTTTTTTTAAGTTTTTATTGATTTTTTTTTTTTTTTTTTTTTTTCTTTAAGAGAGAGATGAAGGGAGAGAGAAATAGAAACATCCATGTGAGAAACATTGATAGGCTACCTCCTGCATGCCCCCTACTGGGGATGGAGCCTGCACCTGGGTGTATGCCCTGACCAGGAATTGAACTGAGGCCCCTCAGTCCATGGGACAGACACTCAATCCACTGAGCCACATGGGCCCAGCAGTACGTGTTCTTTTTGTTTTGTTTTTTATATTTATTCCAGATCTGTGTTTTTGCCATATGCCATAGCAAAAAAATTAATATTTTAATAAATACCTGCCTTTAAATGTTTTCTTTTTTTCCTTAGTTGTCAAGTTAGAATCTATGCTTTCCAGCATGTATACCTAGAATAGAATTTTGGAGCAGTAGAAGACTTTTGAGTAGTGGTTTTTAACCACTGTAGGGTCACTGACGCTTAAAGAATATAATAGGAAGTATGGATCTTATTTCCAGGGAAAAAGCACAAACAAAAATACTGTAAAGTTGAGCATATATTTTCAATGCTATTTATGTCATAGGTGTTAAGGTTAAGTACCTTTCGGTTTGTGGCTAAGTCAGTTTCTGTGGAAGATGTGTGATTTTTGTTATACAGATGAAGAAACAGGGAATTGTCCCTTTGTGACATATATTTTTTCTTTAGCTAACTGGTACCTTCTATTGAAGTTGTTTTCTCCAGCAGAATAGAATGTTCATGAAAAGAAAAGCAGACCTTTACAAAGCACTGCTTTTTGGTGAAATTCCATGCTGAAGTTAAGCACTATTTGAGCTTTGGAAGCCAGGATTCAGTCAGCTTGCTTCATTAACATGAGACTTTTGAGACCTTGCTAAAGTGAAGGACCAGAAATTTACATAGAAGGGACCCTAGAGTTTCAAAGTTTTTAGTGAGAAAATTGAATGGCATCTTTGTTAAATATTTGAAAGCCTTCCTAACTCTCCCTATAAAAACCGGGGGCTGTTTTTAAGTGGGTTCTAGTGCAATATTTACATGGCATCTCTGTTTCTACATATAGTATCATGTCATCTGTGAATAATGATAGTTGCACTTCCTCCTTTCCAATTTGGATCCCTTTTATTTTTTCTTCCTGGCATCTCTGTTTCGTAAATGAAACCACAGTTCTGATATATTAGCCTTGCACTTTGGAAATTATTTGTACTTTAATAGGGTCTCTGTGTTTAATTATGGTTAAATCGTATCAAAAGTGCTAAAGTGAGTTTAATCCATCAGTTATTTTTCTCTGTAGCTAACCTTATCAAGTAGACTCAGTCTGGAGGTTGAAAGAGACCTCAAAGGTTATGAAGTCCATTCATCCCTCTCTGTCATTTCAGTGTAAGAGAAAGGAGGGCTGAATTTGTCAGCACACTTCGAAAATTGCTTTTGATTAAACCAACAACATTGTCTAGTTAGAGGTGAGGCTGATAATGTCATTTCCCACCTTAGATTAGATCCCATAAAACTTTTGGCATTAGAAGAGCAGTTTGATGTCACTACCTATGTTTAACTAACAGACATCAGTTTCTTTGCCAGACCTTATATGGTACTGTATTCTGTTTGCTCATACAGAATCAAAAAAAATGTGACTGTCTGCTGGTTTGCAGAGTTTTCTTAATTTCAATTTGTGGTTCCTTGTACTACGAAGAAATTTATATTTTTCTTGGCTTGCCCTGGGGAGGAAGATAAAGCTGGAATGAGAGAGAACCTGTACCCTAAGGGAAAACATTAGGGAATCTTAGTCCCTTTCTATTCTTTTTTTTGCCCCCACCCTGTTTCCGGGAGGAGATAGCTCAGACAGTTGAACTGATAAGCCTACTTGTTAATCTAGCACAGGCATTGTTTAATTTTCCACACCATGGAATATATATTGCACATTGGTTGCTTCTCTAATTTGTGCTATCTCAGTTGGAGTTCAAAAGTATCTTGTAGGCTGGGTTTCCTGGCAGGTACTACCACCATTCTACAGGTAAAATGAACTGTTAAGTGTGGGCAAGTGGCAAGTATGCAGCTAACTATTATGGTGCCAGAATCAAATTATAAGTCTCATAACTCCATCACTTTAAAGTTCGGCTTTCTGGTGTCTCCCTGCATGTTTGGTTCCGTGGGTAAACCCTGGCTCTTAACCAATACTGTAGAGCCTGTTTTTACCTGAGACATGATGCAAGTTTTTAGGGCCAGGTAAGAGAATATGTTGACACTCTAAATAACCAGAAGGTGTCATTCTTGAGGGTATTAAATTTAGCACAAGAAATATTAGGACAAGTTTCATATTTAATGTTCAAATAACCCAAAAGAATTTAAATAGAGCTGTGCTTGTTTATAACCCTGCACCTTTTCTTTCTCTCTTCAGAATTCTGTTGACTTTTGTGTCAATATTTTCTCTGTATTCTGTTCATCTCCTTTTGAAGACCGCCAACGAAGGAGGTAGGGTAGCATTCTTGGTATTTCTAAAACAAATATACCTATTATGATTTTGTTTCCCATATAAAATACTTGCTTCATGCTTCTGTGTTCTTCAAATTATAGGGTCTTTATTATATGAACAGTTGGGACAGAAGGCATTTGGATTGGTTGGGAAGCTTGCAGCCTCTGGATCGATTACAATGCAGAACATTGGAGGTAAGAATTTTTTTTAAAAATAATCTGAATAGACTTTGCTTTGTGTAGCACAGAGTGGTAACACGTTACTTTTGGTGTCACGTGACACATTTTGCACTTGTAATGGTATAATTTTTTTTCCTCCAGCTATGTCAAGCTACCTCTTCATAGTGAAATATGAGTTACCTTTGGTGATCAAGGCATTAATGAACATTGAAGATCCAACTGGGTAGGTGCTAAGTAAGGTTACTCATAAGAAACCATTCTAGTCTAAAATGGTTTAGATACATTTTATCAAAGTTGGATACAAATTGATTATCAGTAAATTACTGTAAATGTTACTGTTGAGACTGAGAATTTTTGAGAATGAAAGACCAAAGATGGTAGCTAGTCGTGTAACTCTGGATAACTAATTTCTAATCTACATGTAAAAACAGGTTTTCTTAACTTTTCTTTTTATATTTACTCTTTAAGAAATTACAGCTGAATAACACATATTCCAATCTGTGTTAGGACTCCTGCTTTGAATTACATCAATCCTGTCTGCTTTTTGTAAATTAGAAATTCTTAAAACTTAATCCATTTAAAATGTGTAATGCCAGAAAATGTAGGCCATAATGTAGAAATTTTATCCTTCTAGCAAAGTTATTCATCCCAGGCAACTAACAGGCAGGTGGTTATCTAAAGTAAATGTTGGGGGGGAGTTAATTTACTTGCTCACTTATCTCAAAATAAAGAGTGTGGTTATCTCTGTGCTTTAGAAATTTATTTCAGTAATCTGATCTTTAGATATTAGTTTTCTGTGGGGTCTTTGTTGCTGAATTGAGTGGATTAGAACTCATAGGGCAACCAGAATTTGAAATAGTGATTTAAAAGAGAGGGTAGTGTTGGCTTCTGCAGCACATGTACTAAAATTGGAACCATACAGAGATTAGCATGTCCCTTGAGCAAGGATGACAAGCAAATTTGTGAAGCTTTCCATATTTTTAAAAAAATTAATAAAAGAAGAGGGTATAGCTGATTACCTAAAAAGGAAAAATATATTGTTAGAACTCTTAGGACATGTGGGTAATATTTTCTCTTAACTTCAGAAGGGATCTTTTGACTATTTTTGGAGTTAAGGTGGGTCAGGTTATTAAAAGATACTCTTGACAACCTGGAATAAGTCCTGGTTTGGGGACTGGGGTTTTTTGTTTTGTTTCTGCCTATGTATTTTGTCTAAGTATGAAAAAATTTCCTTGTTGAAGTATTTCACATGTACATTTGCTAACAAATTTCTGACAGAAATTTCCTTGTTTCTAACATTAAAAATTGCAAGCTAAAGCTATGACAAAGTTGGTGTACAATTTTTCTAAAAATGCTCAGAGATAAGATTACTGGCTCATAACAGTGCCTCTTTGTTCCCTGTATTAGTAGCAAGCATTTAAGAAGTATTTTATGTTATGAATCAGCTGGCAGTCTTCCCAGAGCAAACAGTGGGACAAAAGTTAAACTGTTTCATACCCCATTTCCAACCTGAGTGAGTGTTCATCTAGCACACAAAGTTAGAGATTTATTCCTGTCTGTGGGCTTTTTGAATAAGCAATACTTCCAAACCTATCTTTTTTGTGTGTAATTTTATAGTATTTGTATAAAATGAGTCCTGTGAGAAGGATGTGTATATTATTCTGAGAATATTTGTAACTGGTTTGACCTTGTTTTTTTGTTTGTTTGTTTGTTTTTAATTCAGACTGTGGTATCTGAACGGTGACTATTTGGTTTTGCTGGTGTCATTGGTGCTCATTCTTCCTTTGTCACTGCTAAGAAATTTAGGTGAGCAAACCCACCTCTAAAGAGAATTGAAATGCTCCTCTCACCAGCTAATTGGCTTTCTCATAATAGACAATGAAATCTAAAAAGCCCTAAAAACATATCTTTGGGAGTTACAGCATACAAACCTCTGTAGGTCTTATAAAATCCTAGCACGATGACTCTCAAGGCATCAAAGTATGTTGTATGTTTGTAAATAATAATATAAAATGAATGAAAGTTTTTATTATTTTAGTTACTAGCAACTATTTTAAAGTAATTCTATAGCTTTAGTATATAAGAATGAGAAACGTAATATTGTAGCTACACAGAAGTCTTCCAAGCAGAATTGCATTACTTAGTAGAGAAAATAGATTTGCCTTAAACCCATTTCATTAAATTAACATTTATTCTCTTCTCTACCCTGTCCTCCAGGATATTTGGGATATACCAGTGGCCTTTCCTTGTTGTGTATGGTGTTCTTTCTGATTGTGGTAGGTATAACTTCTTTAAAGTTAGAGATTTGTCCTTTATAAGTCCTGTCACATTATTCAGTTTGACAAATGAAAAATAATATATTTTCAGGTGATTTGCAAGAAATTTGAGATTGCTTGTCCATTTGAAGACCCATCAATAATAAGTGAGGCAGTAAACAGCACCTTCATACCATCAACGGTGTTACCTCATATAGCATTTAACATGACTGATGATTCCTGCAGACCGCGTTATTTTACCTTCAACTCACAGGTAACTAAATAAAATCTTTTTTTCTGAAAGGAAGTTTTTAAGGAAGAAAAGAGGGATACCACTGGAAATTTTAAAATAACTCCCAATGTAAAGGGAGGGAGGGGTAAGAGCTGCTCTTTAGAAAACATGATTAGTTTATTGAGGACTGAGAAGAAAGCATTGCTTTGTGTCTTAAAATAGTTTCAAAAATGAAGTAATTATGATGTTAATGACACATTTCAAAGTTAGGATATTGATCAACGTAGTGAACAAATGGAAAGATTATCTTAGAATCCAAGCCTAATTATTTTAATTAGTTAATATAAAGTAAGTTAATACAAAATATATGTTGCAGAACTTGTGATAACACATGAGTTTGTTACATTAGGATATTGAGAAAAGTTTTATGTCTTTTGCAGACCGTCTATGCTGTGCCAATTCTGACCTTTTCATTTGTCTGTCATCCTGCTATTCTTCCCATTTACGAAGAGCTGAAAGAGTGAGTGCTGTACCTATTTTCATATAGATTTCTTGGGAAAATATGATTACTGCTATAACTACTACTAACATATATTTTCGTATTTTTCTTTGAATGTACATAGTCGCAGCCGTAGAAGAATGATGAACGTGTCCAAGATTTCATTTTTTGCTATGTTTCTCATGTACCTACTTGCTGCCCTCTTTGGATACTTGACATTTTATGGTAAATATTGTCTGGTTTACACCCCCAAGAAAATCACATTGTGAAATGAAATTGATGCTTTGATATGAATAGTTCTATCACTTCAGTTCAAGTATATTTATTTGTGGTGAGAAATTGAATTTAGAGCTTAGAATTTTCTATGGTATATTTAATAAGTAATTTCTAGAATGCAGCTTCAAAAGTGTACCATTAGTCACTTGATGCCTTTTTTTTTATTATTATTAATTTTTTATTTTTTATCCTTACCCGAGGACATTTTTTTTTTATATTTTGTTCAGATAGAGTGGGAGAGAGAGAGAGAGAAACATCGATGTGAAGGGACACATCGAGTGGTTGCCACCCACACAACCCAACCAGGGCTGGGGACAAACTGCAACCGAGGTACATGCCCTAAGCGGGAACCGAACCCCGGTCTCTCGGGACCACAGGCCGATGCTCTAACCGCTGAGCCAAACCGGCCAGGGCCTGTTTTTATATGATATACTTACATCTAAGTTTATCCTACCTATCCCCTCCTATCACTTTCAAATTATACAACACACACAAACAGAAAGCCAAACATGGGATTTAGCTATTTAGCTCCTGTTGTTTTTAATGGGGGTCATGTGGCTAAATCTCTACTTTGGTATTTAGAAAAATTTTCCTTCAATATTATTTTAATTGCATTAACCCTAATTCCGAATTAATCTTATTAGCCTCTTAGTTGGTAGTCATTTTGTGAGTAGTTAGTAACTTTGGTGCAAATTTTGTTACCAATTAGATTTTCTGCCTAATCTCCAGAGAAAACAGCACACTTAAAGTTTTTTTTTTCTTTTTCCACAGAACATGTTGAGTCAGAATTGCTTCATACCTACTCTAATGTCCTGGGAACTGATATTCTTCTTCTCATTGTCCGTTTGGCTGTGTTAGTGGCTGTCACCCTGACAGTTCCTGTCGTTATTTTCCCAGTAAGTAATCACTTGCTCTCTTTTCAGTAGGAATGGGTTTAAATGTGAAGATTTGTGAGATATTTATTTTCTGGGAGAAGGGAAATACCACTAGAGCAATACTGAGTTGATGGTTGTTTTGAGGGGACTTTAAAAAATACTTTATAAATTTTTAAGACATCCTAGGGCATGTTTTTCATAATTGTAGATATTAAATGATTTTTAGCATTCAGATGTTTAGAAAACAGCAATAGAGGAGGGGACACAATTTTATTTAAAAAACTGCTTGTTTTAGATAGATTTTTCTATTTGGGTTTTTTTTTTTTATATTAATTAAAGCTAGAACTTTAATTTGTTTATTTATTCATTTTTACAGATCCGAGGTTCCATAACTCACTTGTTTTGTCCAACAAAAGATTTCAGTTGGTGGCGTCATACTCTCATTACAGTATCCATCTTGGCATTTACCAATTTGCTTGTCATCTTTGTCCCAACTATTAGAGATATCTTTGGTTTCATTGGTAAGTTTTAGAAAGTATCAAGGTTGATTTAAATATTTTTTAAGGTTTAAAAAATGGGTGACAAATGATTTACTGAATTCTCAAGAGATGGTAAATGTTGTTTTACAGGTGCATCTGCAGCTGCTATGTTGATTTTTATTCTTCCGTCTGCCTTCTATATCAAGCTAGTTAAGAAAGAATCTATGAAATCTGTGCAAAAGATTGGGGTGAGTAACAGATTATGACTACAGAAACAGTAATAATCTTCCAGTATCAGAAATTCCACAACTGATTTTAATTTTAGTCTCTTAGTAAATGTTTCTATGACAGTGTACTTCATTGATGAAAGATTGGGGGCGAAGAAGTTTGCCATCTAATACATGCTTAAGTTAATTGGAAGAAAGTTATTAGATATTAGAGAGATAGAGTATAAAGTGTAAAGATTCTTACTTAACTTTCAACATTTGTTGAACCAGTGTTTTTTGGACTGCCTGTTGTGTGGCAGGCACTTACATGGGCCTTGAGTATATAAAAGAGAAAAAGATGGGGTGTTTAGTCGAAAAAAGACAAACCATCTTCAGAGCAAAGCTTGGTGGGGCTGTTTTACACTTTAAAATATTATCATAAACTCTAAAGTGCAATAACTAATTTTTCAAAGGGTATGATATGTTAAGCATAAATGATTCTGGTGGGTCTATTTGGGATAAAGATTGAGTAAAGCAAGTTGTTGGCTTATAATAATTCTGATACTTTTCAGAATAGAATGGTAGTAGAGAATAAGGACCAAAAAGCAAAGTACATAGTGGCAGTAATTGAAGGGTAAGATTGGAAGTCAACTTCTGTCTCTTAGAAAGACCTTTGACTTTGACACGAGCTGCATTTTAGGATGACTTGGATTTGATTTTGTGACTTCAATTTTTGCTTTAAAAAAAGACAAAAAAAAAAAGCCCAGTTTTACTTTACAAAGTAGTTTATTCAGCAAAGAAAATCCTTTACGTTTTCATTTGAGAGAATGAAATTTAAAAGTGAAATTTTGGAAGCTTTCAGAGATAGATATTTTGTATGATAGATGACCCTTTGATTAAGACCATTTAAATACCTTTATATCTCTATAAAATATTACTGATGTAATTTTAATAATTATAAGCCCATTTTTTTAAAGTAGAAAGCAATATTGAACATACATATTTTGTCTCTTGCTGATCAGTGTTCTCTGTGTGCTTATTGCAGGCTTTGCTCTTCCTATTCAGTGGCATAGTGGTGATGATCGGAAGTATGGCCTTGATTGTTCTGGATTGGGTACACAATGCCCATTGAGCGGGCCAATAACTGGCACCACTAAAAC